CGGCCGAAAATCGCGGATTTCATGGCGGATGTGGCGGCCGCCACAAACGCCTAGCCCTACTCATCATCCACCGAGATCTGGGCTGGTGAAAAGACCCGAACTATGAAGCCGAGGCCTCCTCCAGTCTCCATTAGAAGATCTTGAGGAATAAATGAATAGCAATGTTGACAATCAGTCCGATCATAGCTAGGGATCCTCCGCAATCCCTATCTTTCTGGCATCCTGAAATCCCCCGAGGATGCACTCCCACCGCAGTTTGTCCTCCGCCTGTATCAATCTGTTGGGAAGCGACTCCTCGAATTCCGGCAATGACCTAGTCAAAATATCACTGAAGACGACAGATCGCAGACGTAAATGTACCATGTTTGCATTGGGACCGGGATGAATACCCTCGGGCAAGAACTCCGATGTAGGCCCCGTTCTCTCATTCATTCATCGAGCGCTATGAATCCTTGGGAGCTGGAGGAAGATCGACGAGTACGCTGAAGCTTCCAGTCGAGTCATTGGAATCAAGCCACCTCCTAGAGTCACCCCGCTCCAAGGTCTCGCGGGGCTCAAATGAATCCCGAGAGATTTTGATTCATGAGTCCGAGAGAATCGCTGCGGAATTTCTCGTCTTAATTCGACGAGCGCTCGGAGCCCCACTGAACTACCTCAGGGCTCCGGGCCGCCCTAAAGTCGGACCTAGACCTCCGATCGAAGCAGCATCGGCTACACTACACACGATAACTAAACGTCATGAATTCAAGATTCCATATACATATATATATTCTCATCTGTTCATCAGCAACCGATCGAGGAGTTCGAGTTGTTCACGGACTCTACCTGTCTATGTTTGAGGGTAACCATCCCACCACCGTGTGGCGAAGCTTTTTTCTCTCGATGAGTGAATGCCATCGATCAGATGAGTTTCAGAATCCCGGGTGTCGAGGACGCACTCTTCCCAGGATTCATCCCTGGATAAGGATCCTCAGAATCAAGTATCCATCCCGCGCCCCTCTACGGGTTTGGCGATATGCGAGAAGCCACCACCGGGAGGCGAGGCTCCGCGTTCGAATCGAGGGACGGGGAGCCCGGGCAGCTCGGAAAACCTCGGCATGGTCGGAAAAGTCTAAGTTTGGCGGCTCCCAATACATCTACCAGTCCGGCGCTCATCTGCAGTCAGAATTCCATGGAAGTCTTGCTCAGGATCTCAGGATGTCGGAACTCCACTTCGACCTCCCGGAACTGTCGTAGGGATCAACACTGTCAGAATCATACGACAAATGCTTGAATCTTGATCTCTGAGTACCATGCCTTGCCATTGTTCCTTGAAGATCAGGGCTCGACTCGCCGTCTCAAGCGGCACCTGGATAGAGCAGCGCGGCGCCCTCACCGGCGATGGAGTTCAACCGGTGAGAGGGCTACCGCTCTTCGCCGAATGCGCCCTACCGCATTCATCTTGGCCCAGGAGGAGGATATTCCTTATGTGATTCCCAGGAAGTATCCCCGTCGAAGTTCGTGGTGTGTCGAGAGCTCCGTCGGAGCTCTCGTGAGAATCCTCGTAAGGGCTGTCGAAGGGGCTCTGACGAGTTACAGCTGTGATCAATGAGATCGAAGTCCGACTCTAGCTTGAGAGCAGGCGCTCGTTTCCGACATTCTCCAATTAGGTAGATGACTTTTCACGTGCCGTCTGAGCCAGCTCTCGGCACGTCCCGCGTACACTACGCACCTCCAAAACATGCCATAAATTCCAATTCCATTATCCTGCCTTCGAGCGGGGAACTTGCGAGCCTCCTACGCCCGGTTCTAGGGCACAAGCGAGGAGAGATTATTTAATGTCAAATTGTACCAGGGCCCATCTTCGGTCCGATCTAATTTCATCAAGCGCTATCATCAATTAATGATCCACCCCGTGGTCTGAAATGGCAGAGCGTGGCTACCGTAATCAATCACAATCACGAATTTTTCCATTTCATTCTTCAAGCATTTCTAGACTTAATATGGGTACACGGATATGGGTACACCGCGCCAGAGAACGGACTGCTCCCGTATTGTATTCTGCCTGGAAACAAACTCGGAGTCTTCGATCCTCGCGCACCCGAACATCGTCAGCAACCGCTGTGAGAGGAGAGACGACCGGCTCGGAGCATACCCCGTGGCCGAGCCCTCACAGGCGATGAGAATTCGAAAAACCGGCGCGAAGATCCTGTCAGTTTCTGCCCATGTGAGGAAAGACTCTGGTGTTTCGGTTCGGGCGGCGCCGGCGAGCGCCTGCCCGTCTGTGTGTGTGAGTCCAAGTGAGTGGCCGCGGCCGTCGCGGTGTGGTCGTCGTCGGTGGTGTTGTTTCTCAACCGGCAGCAGCCGCCGCCGCCGCTGCTGCCGCCGCCGCCGCCGCAGCACCACCATCCATAGGAGAGAGGGCGCTGCGGACCGTCAACAGCGCCGCTAGAGACGCTCGCTGTCCGTCGTTGGCCGTACTGACAACACTACTACTAGTGTGAGTATTCTATGTTTTTTGCGCGAATTTCAATGTCTGTTCGCGAGCACGCAGGCGCTGCGAGTGTCGTGTCAACGCAGCAATAGGCTCGGAGCTCACTATCCGTGAATGTGTTCGGGAATGAGATCTTGTCGGCTAGATGTCGCCGCCTATCGTCGTAACAACAAGCCGACCGAGAAACAACAACTACTGTTTTTAGACGACACACACATACATTCATCCATATATAAACACAGCCCATTCAACAAGTTCGGACAAGGTTAGTCCCTGGTCTTGTCGCTCAATTATCCACCTTGTCTCCAGCTGCGGCTCTGTCAACTCGACGGTGGGCAAATGTTTCGAACTCGAACTCCTAGATAGCTGCGCTGCGAATGTCCTAGTTAACTGGGAAGGCATCTTTTAGTTCCAAGATGGCGACCATCGACTATTAGGCTTAGGATCGGAAAAACTACTGAATCTTGCCGAAAATCGATCTGTGCGCGAGCGTGTAACAATCTCGAAGTGTGATGTCGGCCGTAGAGGGTCACGGGAGTCGACTCGACGGATCTACGCTCCACTCGGCCGTCTGACGGTCGTACTCCGACCCAGAAGCGGTCTGCTCCGCGACGACCCCTTGTCAAAAACGGTGAGAAACAAAGCGATAACTCAACTTCGCCGGCACCGTTTGTTCGTTTACTGTGTGTTCGGAATCGGATACTTCTTCGACCGCACCCCTGGTCGCATCGTCTCCCGTGTCGGGTCGTGCAGTGAGTGACGCAGCGCTGAATTTCGAGTTCTGGGTGTTCGACATTCCTACTCCGGGTGAGCAGCAGCAGCAGCAGACTTCAAGCTCGACGTCGGACAGGATTTTCCGTTGTGTCCACCGATGCCCCTGTGACATGAGATATCCGTGCCCCCTTGCGTCCCGGATGCCCCGAATCGCTCGGGCTCGATGCGAGTGACCCGCGAGGATCACCTGTGAGATGTCAATAGTGGCCACCGTGTTTACGCTGTCGTTCAGAGCCTGTCTCGAACGAGAGGTGATCTGTTGCCGAAAGTCAGTGAGTCCAGGAGGCAATTTCGAAGTGATCGGTGTCTATCGAACGTTTTGTGGTGCATTCGGTCTCCTGGCGCCCTCAGAGGTTCTGCGTTCATGGACGTCTCGAAATCTCGAATTCGACAGTGACCACTGATCGCGTGTGGTGCCTTCTTTCCGGCTCGGGTGAATGACCATGAAGCCACATTCATGGTAGTTAGTGAGTGGATGAGTGAGTGAATGAATGAATGACCGGCTGAGTGGGTGAGTTAGTGAGTGGAAGAGTATCGTGCAGGCTGCAATTGTGTGCTGAAGACTGTGATTTCTCCTGAGACGATCCGCTCTTGTTTTCGCTCAAGTAACCAATATGCGGTCGACATGACGAGGGTAACTTCTGTCTGGTGCCACGAAAAAAAACTCCGTCAAGAGAGCCTAGCGCTGAACTTCCTCTTCTTCTTCGGAGGATGTACTTCGGCCAGCGACGTTACGACGTCGCAAAGAAAGGCAGTTCACTCAGGTTCGCGTGTCTAGACCGAGCTGTAGCATCATCCCCTTAATTATGATCGGATATCGGGAAATCGTCGTCGTTTCGCGGGTCACCGAGGTGGTAGGGTCACGAACTCCGATGAGGTGTCTCGGTCCTACGGAATATCTAGATTAATAGACTGAAGCGTTGTATCATAGTATCCGACGATTTAGGGAACTCCCCGGTGCGGGGGGTTGTTTTGTTCACTCGCTCGCAAAATAGATACGATTCTCGGACAGCTGAAAATTTGGCGCCAAACTCCACGAGAGAGAGAGTGCGGCATCCCGGAAAAGCGGTCGGTGCCGTCACAGGACACCATCGAGATTGATACGGAATACATATGATCGGTTACGTTCGCGTGAAATCTGTGCTCCAACTTCAAGGAATAGATAGCGGTTCCGGAGGGGAATCGAGCCTTACATTCCGAATCATGTCGAGGTCTAGAAACCCAGCTGAGTGCTGGAGGGTGTTCGGGCTTGACGGCCGACATGAGATGGCTGAGTTTCTGCATATGCTCATCCTACCCAATTGTTCAGCCTGATTGTCGGATCTAGATATTTTCGTTCTCCTTGCGTAGACCCGAAAGATGCACGGAAGGCTCGGGATTCTCGCGGACCTCCGGACGTTATAGCGTGAAGGTGCAAAGCGCATACTTGGGAAAAGCCGCATACACGTTGCGACTGAAAGCCAAAAGCGAGCGAAAAGTCGGAGCTCCCGACCATGCCACACGTTCCCTTTGACCGACACTGGAATCGATTCCCCGATGACCGATACGGAAAAAAATTCAAGACTACGCGTCGACACTCATGAAACCTGTGAATTTACTGATTTCCATCACGGAGAGCCGAAAAGTCCGCTCTCAAGTCCCGTTGGGACGAAAACCTCCAATGTTTTGAATGCGCACTTTTGCTGTTGCAGGAATAATGCTTTGTGTCAACTGAAAATCTCTGTCGTCGGCCTGACCGTTGGCGACGATCAAGATGAACGGTGAAGGGGGACCTTCGGTCCCCATAACGACCTTAGCTGCGGTCCAGGGCTTAACGGACCTTCTCAGCGAGCTTCCATTGCCGGTCAGCCTTCCGGGCGCCTGCAGTCCTGCATCACGACCAGTGATATCCGCGCACGAGGCTGATGAGGTCCAGAACATTCTCAATAACGGGAACTACCTCCTACCTCAGGTCATCGACGCGCTTTCGAGAACGAACATCGATAACCTCGAGGTACGTATGACGATCCGAGCGATTCTCGACGGTCGACGTCGGATCCTGGCTCGACAGTCGCTATTCATGTGTCACGTGTCCAGCTCCCGTTCCTTTCCCCATAGTACCCCAGATTCTAAACTTCTTCCATGTCCTCTGCAGATCGATGATGGCGTACTGTCTCCGGTTTCTGGGAACGGCAACATGTCGCAGATGCTATCTCACCTCCTGTCGTCCCAGCCCCAGTTGTTCGGGCCGAAACCCGCGATGACCACCCCGCATTGGGGTGCAGCCCAACTAGGCCAGCAGCAGCAGCAACCCCAACCACAAGCACAGCAGCCGCCGCCACAGCAACAATATTATCCGGCTGCGAATCAAACGTTTTCGCCACAGCATCAGCAGCCAGCGACTCCGCATGGCCAGTCTCCGCAGCAAGCGAATAGCCAACAGTTTGTCAATCCGCAGCAGCAAGCGTCGCCCTACTATCGCCAACCTCAGAACAACAAGCACTTCAACAGTAACTTCAACCAACATCAATTTCCCGTACAGAAAGATCATAGCGTGGCTGGAATTCTCGACAACCACCATGGACCCTACGGTCAAGCTAGTCTCCAGGGCCCCGCAGGTCACAGTATGCAAGCGATGCTTCCCGGTGCAACGAATCAATTGCCACAGACAGCGCAACAACAGCAGCAGCACAACGCAATGCATCTGCCCATCGTCAATCCTATGGTTCCGAATAATTTCCTCCCGGCCAACGGAATCGATCCAACGTTAGACAAGCATCTGAATGACATGGTTCACAATTTCCCCTCAACCATGCATCAGCAACAACTCCCACACCAACAGCTGCAAGCGCCGCATCTTCAACATACGCAGCAACAATTCCATCAGCAGCATCCTCAGCAACAATTCCATCCCCAACAGCAACAGCAGCAGCAGCAGTTGAGTTCACCGACCCATCAGCAACAGTCCCAAATGATGAATGCCCAAATGCCAACGACGTCGACGGCGCCCGCAACGCCGAGCACACCGCAAGCAGCGGATAAAACGAATGTTCCACCGAAGAAGAAATTCCGCTCTCGTGGTAAGGATCCCAAAGTTTGGGGTGGAACCCCCATCAAGAAGCGGAAAGAGCCGGAGTTGCGTCCCGACGAATTGTCCACCATGGACAGCTTGATCGCATCTTCATTGACGGAACGCGTGAAGCGGAGACGGCGAGGCAACAAAACCAAATACATAGAGGACGATCAGAAGGACGATTCGGACGCCGAGGCTGGTGAAGCTGGGACGGGGGAAGGCGATTCCGACTTCGAAGGGTCAAGAGGACGTCAGGATAAGAAGGATATGGGTGCACCAACGAATAATAAGATTGCCAGTCCCAAGAAGAATCTTAAGGAGCCCACCCCGCCACCTAAGGAAATCATCATCAAGAAGGCGAAAATCAAAAAGATTCGCAGAGAACAACAGACGGAAGCGATGACCGCCGAGGAGTTGATGGAGTCCACCACCTATCAGAGATTTACGCGCCTTGTAGAGAAAACCTTCGATGCAATGGAGGACGTCGACCTGGCACAAACAGTTGATGAAGAGGATACGTGTCCCGAGGAGTTCCTCATACCTTTGAAAACCCTGAAAGAGTTGGCCGACGAAAGTGCGAAGTTGAAAGTACTCAGAGCTACCAACCAAGTTCCAGCGGACCGACTTGTCAGGTATGTGGACTGCGTTTTTGCTCCGGAAAGGATGATCACGGTCTCATCAAGAGAATGACCAGTCTATCAGAGATCGCTTGGAGTATCCGGGAGTGAGCGGGATGAAGAGAAATCGAGTGCCTTTCCCCAGTATTTCGTGTTTGTGATCATAAACTCTAAACTTGATTTTTTCTCTCCAGATTGTTAACAATACTCGAACGTAATATCCTCGACGGGACCCGGGTGTGTCTGGGAGGGGAGCAAGACGACGATGAAGGTGCCGCCATCGAATTGATGATGGACAAAATTCAACGAAGTGCCGACAGCTCGCTCACCGCGCTCTACATAATGACAGCGGCTGACATGCCCGAGAAAGTGTTCCTGGAAGATGTCATCGAGCGGATAGTGACGTTCGTGAAATTCCAAGTCCAGAATACAATATACCCCGCCTTCGATCCAGCGTATCGGGTGTCGAAAAAAGACGAGGAATCGACGGCGTCCCTGAAGCAGAAACGATACTACTCTTCAATGAAGTCTCGTCAAAAGAATGTGACTCAACTCTACAATAAGCTGCGCGAGGCGGTTGGCCTGTTAGCCGAGCTGCTGAAGCTGCAGACGCTGACAGATACGATCGTATTGAAGGTTTCCAGTCTCGGTGTGAGTCCATTCTTTGTCGAAGGCGTATCCGAACTCCAACTGAACGCCTTACGGCTCGTAACAGCAATTTTCACGCGTTATGTACCTCATCGGCAATTGATCCTAGAAGATATTCTAGCATCGATCGCTAGGTTACCCACCTCCAAGCGAAGTTTACGAAATTATCGCCTGAACTCGGAGGAACAGATCCAGATGCTTACGGCATTGGTGAGCAACTTCAGTGATCGTTTATCTGATATCTGGGAGCGACGACAATATTCCCCCTTTCGGGAGGCGAACCCGACTCGTGTTCGGACGATATTTCTTCCTAGTCGACTTTTCTTAACGTCCGTTATTCGTATTTTCTAGGTACTGCAACTCATCCACAGTGTGGTTCGATTACCTGAAGTGGAGTCGAATAAGAAAGATGATTCCAAGGAGGAGGGCACACCGAAGTCGAAGTCGAAAGAAAAGGATAAAGAGAAGGAGAAGGATAAGGATGGATCGTTAGACGAATACAAACCTCTCGACGAGGTTGTTCTGATGACGTCCTACGAAGAAGCTATCCGCACAGCTGTCAGTTTTCTTTCTGTGTTTTTGAAGAAATGTGGTGTCAAACACGAAGACATGGATTATCGGTGAGTAGTCCAACCCGCTTCCCCGCTTCCTCACTTTTCTGAACAACGGAGTCTCACTCGAGTCTTGGATCGGGTTCACGATCTCTCGAGGCTCCTCAGCATCTCACTCCGAACGGAAACACGTGCTTTTTCTCAAAGATAATTCATGAACTGATTCAACGTCCTCTCGATTCCAGGCCGTTGTTTGAGAACTTCGTGCAAGATCTACTATCGACGGTGAATAAGCCTGAATGGCCGGCGTCCGAAATGATGTTGTCCCTTCTGGGCCAATTGTTGGTGAACAACTTCAGTAACAAGAATCTGGACATGTCCATGAGAACCTCATCGCTCGAGTATCTTGGTGTGGTAGCGGCCAGACTCCGGAAGGATGCGGTCCAAACGAAAATTCGACACGAGGTCATCGATGATATCCTCCGTCAAATCTGCGATGACAACGAGGAAGAGGACATCCAGACGAAGCCGAAGAAAAAGAAGAAGAACAACGCGGCCAAACTGAAGGTGCGTAGCGGAGTCCGACTACCGGAGGGAAATTAACTTTTCTCCATGATTCCGGTTCCCCGATTATTATCGTCATCGAGTGCCAAACGTGCCCCTTTTCATAGATGTAACTGACTTTTTCCCCCGCTCGTATAGGAGGAACGCGATGAGGTTACGATACTGCAGCAGGCTTTACTCCATTATCTGGACGGGAACGCAGAATCTGATCCATCCTTAGAGTTCTCCAAGAGATTCTATCTGGCTCAGTGGTACAAGGACGCAGTCGCAAACGCGAAGGTGGATGCAAGTGAGTCTAGAGATTTTTTTCAATATCCTCGAACAGCTCGGCAAGGCGCAATGTGGTTCGTTCTTTCCTCCTTTCCTTCTGCCGTACGTTTGTGGAAGACTGGCGATCGGTAATGGATCTTATTTGTATGCTCAAAAGACTCCAGCTCCCGAATCCTCCCCGCTATTCCTTCGAATTGAACCTAATGCGTCCGAATCTTCCTTGTTCAAGGTGACCCCATGGTCAAACCCAAAAGAGAACCCAAAAGCGATCCCGAAGATGAGGACGAAGCTGTCAAGCTTGAGAAAACTCAAATGGTCATCAAGTTGGCCGAGCGACGGAAAAAGTTCGTCTGCGAAACGATACAACAAGACTACGCCGATTTCGGAACCGTGGAAATCGTGCGAACAACCCTGGACTATGACACGGCGGAACTCATATCTCGGTTTCTCGCGTCGCGGAGACCGTTTTCGAGAAGTTTCGACATATACCTGTCACAGATCCTCAAAGTACTCGGAGAAACTACCACGGCTGTACGAACGAAAGCTATGAAATGTCTCACTCAAGTCGTCGAAGCCGATCCTGACATTCTTGCGCGACTCAACGTAAAAGTTGCTGTCCACTCGAGGCTTCTCGACACAGCGACATCTGTGCGAGAAGCGGCAGCGGATCTTCTTGGAAAATTCCTCCTACAATCACCCGAACTAATAGACGCCTACTACGAAATGTTGACGCAACGGATACTCGACACCGGTGTTTCGGTGCGAAAACGTGTCATCAAAATCCTCAAGGACATCTGTGTTGAGCAGCCAGACTACAAGAACGTACCCGATATCTGTGTGCGGATCATCAGACGAGTGAACGACGAAGAAGCCGTGAAGAAATTGGTGGGCGAGGTGTTCCAATCGTTGTGGTTCGTGCCATGCAAAGACGGCGAGACCGAACGCATCACCCAGAAAGTACGCAATATCTGCCACGTAGTTGCCGCGTGCCGAGACACTGGCCTGGAATGGTTTGAACAGTTATTAGCGAACCTGCTCCGCTCGAAAGAGCACGAAGCGAATTTGCCTCACACGAAGAGGGCCTGTCGTCAGATCGTGGATGCTCTCGTGGATAACGTGTTGGAGCTGGAAGGTGACCAGCAGCAGAACGCACGCAGTCATCTGATAGCGTGTCTCACGACGCTCAACATGTTCACGAAAATCGAGCCCCACCTGACGACGAAGCACTACCAAATTTTCCAGCCGTACCTGTTGATTCCCTGCAAGACGATGGCTGAACAATTGATAATCAACGCTGTTTCACATTGTTTAGAGTTAGTCGTTCCTCTAGTCGATCATCCGTCGGAAGATTTCCTCGTTCAGGTTGAAGAAGCACTCATGAAACTGATTGTCAGAGGTCATTTATCTGTTCTACCGGCGGCCACCAGTTGTCTCGGCAAAGTCATCAACTGCGTCACCAAAAACCACAAGCTCGTCAGGGACTGCTTCTGCAAAATAGTTAAAACGGTCGAGTTCTTCAAGAACGAGCCCCAGAAAGCACAAAAACCCGTTCTCATGAGAAATCTTTTCACGGCGGGACTCATCTGCAAGCACTTCGACTTCGAGCACCTCCAAGATCCAGCGGTATCCCACCGGAACGAGAAGGAGATCGTGTTCGATTGTTTCATCCACTTCAACGCTCATCCCGACGAAGACATTCGGCTGAAAGCTCTACAAGGTCTCGGACTTATGCTGAACCGTCATTTCGATCTCATGCTCGGAGACGAAGTCAAAAATCTCTATCACTACATTTTGGAAAATTCCGGAGTTACGTGCACGTTCAAGGTCACAGTGCTCACCAGCATAAAAACCTACCTTCACGAAGAAGAGCAGAAGATGATCGAGAAGGATCGGGAGTGGGCGAAAATGTCGAAGAAAGAAAACCTCAAAGAAATGGGTGATGTGTCGTCTGGCATGGCGTCAACTGTGATTCAACACTACATGAAACCTGTCCTGTCGTCGGTTCTTTCAAAACACATTAAGGTTCGGAAAGGTGCATTATTCGTGATCCAACTCGTCCTCGGTCAAGGTTTAGTGCATCCGGTGCAAATGGTACCTTATTTGTCGTGTCTGGGTAGCGACGACGACCTGCTCACGCGCACCACGGCCGAGCGGTTGCTCCAGGAGCTCGAGAAGAAATATCCCGGTTTTGTTCAGATGAAGGCGCCTGCTGGAGTCCGTTTGAGCTATCGACTCCAGAGCGTGCTCAGGGAAGATCTCAAAGATAAGGACGATCGTCTCATTCGTGGGCTCCGGCTTCAAGCCGATGGCCAGCCCATCGCTCGCAATGGCTTCCTTTACACCGTGCTTCGATCGACGCGGCAGACCCGAAGAGCTTTTTTGCTCTCGTTGCTGAAGGCCTTCGATGGAGACGATCGATTTACGCTGTCGGAACTTCTGTACATGGCGGACAATATCGTATATTTCCCGTATCTCGTTCAAGACGAACCGCTGTTCGTCATGCACAACATCGATATACATCTGTCGGTGACGGGATCTGGTCTTCTGCAGAACTTCAGAGACCAGCTACGACAGAAGCCCCGCCATCATCGGAACGAACAAGTCATGAATCACGAAACCGATTCGGACGACGACGACAACGACGACATCGAATCCCTTATGGAGAGACTTCCTGAAGACACGAAGATCGTCCAGGAGCTAATGATCAATTCTCACGCCTGCATTCTACTCTTGCTCTGCAAGCAGGCCCTGAAAGAGATCTACGGCTTGACCGATACCAGGATCCAGCAGTATTCACCGAATGAACAAGCGAAAGCCTACGAGAAGCAGGTCACCCGGAAGGTGGGAGTGCACTTTACACCATCTCTCACCCTTGAGAAGCTCAAGAATCCTGGTGATTCGTTGAAGGTGAAGAAAGAACTCGACGAGAACAGCAAACGAGCTCTGGTCGGTCAGTACATGCAATTCCGACAGCTCATGCTGAGCATCGATCCGAGCGACGAAGACGCCGAAGAGCAGCCTCAGGTCAGTACATACTCATGTCTTACAAAGACGCAGATTTCCTACAACTCACAATAAGCTAGGTAAATCATGAAAGTCAGTAGGTCTCGGACTGCTGGCGACTGCCCTCATTCCCGTGAGCACGAGCACGAAACTCATCCATAGGCATCGAATTGCAGGGTCCTGTCGTCACGGCGCGAGTCGAGGAATCCAGTAACGGAATCGTCCTCAAGATCTCAAAAGCTCCTCCGCCGCCGGAGAAACCCCCACCACCAACCGCCACCACAGTGGTTCTTCCGCCGGGACACGAGGTTACGCCATCTCCTGAGAAGAAACGTCGCGGACCCATACCGAAATTAAAAATCAGCTCCGTTAGCAAAGAACCGAAAACGCCCGGTAAACGAGGCCGGAAGCCTGGAAGACCGAAAAAGAAGAAACGCATCGAGTCGTCGGACGAAGAAAGTGAAGAAGACTCCGATTTTGAGTGAACATGGAGGGCAGTGAAGTAAGCTGCTGGAGTGATCCGAGGAAAAGTAAATGGCTTGTCGCAGCGACGGCGAGCTGCGGCTACGGAGATCACCGACTTGGAATCCACTATGGTCACAAGTTGCCGCGTATTTCTAGAAAATACGAAAATCCTGCGCGGAGTCTCTCAAGGCTCCGAAACTCGCAGCTGGCGAATCGGCGGGACCGGCTCGGCGCCGGCCAGAGCGCCCGCCCTGTAAATAGCGTAATGTCTCGATAAATGTACATTGTGTAGCTTTCAAGTTGGTTGGGTTGTTTTCTGCTTGCCATGCAACGTGTATTGTAGAGAAGTCATTGCGGGCAAGAATAATTAGTTCGTTACCATCGACCGGAATAGACATTCGATCATCGTCGTCATGAGAAGAACTTGAGATTCCATGGTGAACGCATCGCTGTCAACGAGGTGGAGGGAATTCTGCCCCGATGGATTCCGCGTGGCTACAGTGATTCGGAAGCGGTCTATTGACCATCTTCAGGTTACGGAGGACAGACGATTTCTGGCCATCGGAACGATTCGACCTCCCTCTTCCCGAGAAGTCTCCAGTCGGGAGGGGCAACCCTTTGTCACACGAATCTTCGTTCTAATTTCCCCTTCAACCCAATGTTTTCTCACTCAGATTCGGCGAAACTTCTCCGTCGTATTTGCGATTGTCTCTTGGTCGGAATCGCATCTCTGTGTGGTCTAGAGAGTTTTAGTATTATTCCCCTCTGCAGGGAGATTTTAAAATTCAGAATTCATATAGATGCAGCGAAATTTCGCGGTGGAATCCAATTTACTCGATGCTGATGATCGGAATATCCGTCAATGTGTTTAAATCATCATTCACTCGCAGGCAGAAGCTGCGCTCGGTGAAGAACGAGACCAATGGTTTGAGAGTTTATCGGTAGCCGATAATGTGCAGCATAGAGACGACAAGTTTATCTAAGTTATTAACTGCGTACAGATCGACTGACTGATTGAGTCGTTAATTGAGTGGAAGGATGTGTGAAAGGAAGATGGATAACATCCGTCTATAGACATGCTGGTTTGAATCAGAGAGTGAGTGATCGGATGAATCATGACGAGAAATGGGAGGAACTAACGTCGACGATGAAGACGAATACACTGGGATCACGATTTGGGGAGCAGGATGTGTTTGTGACATCTGTTAAATACAGTTTTCGACTGTAATAGTAACAAATATATCAACAAGAATCATACGCAGCACTTCGAATATGAATTAAAAGCGCTAAAGGAGCATGCGTCTTATATAGGACAGAGAACTTGAAGGCAGAGCCTCAATGGAATAAGGGAGATTTTTCGCAAGAAAACTCTATATAATATTAATATTGTAAAGTGTGAATAAAACATAAGCGGCGAGAAATCCGTGGTAAGCATACATGATGTACAGATGTTCTGTTTTCCTCCCAGACCTCAGCAAGGCCAAGACCCTGCGAGCGAATCACGCATGGGAGGTCAGTACGGGGGTTCCGCGCCTCTTCGCGGTCGGATTCCGAGGTTCGGGGTCTTGGGTTCAAACCTTCGTCCGAGAGAGCCCGAGGTCACCAATCAGCGCGCTCTTCCCAGGCCATTCCCGACACCAACCATGACTGAGGATCCTCTTGTGGGAATTCATCGCGAGCCTCCGTCCGCAGTAGGCTGCTGACGCCGGTTAGCGAAATATCTCCATCCATACCTCTCTGTTCTTCTGAGGGAGCGTCACGCACGTGTACCAGCCACGTATCCGGTGGGATTTATCGAGGAATCCCCATAATTTCTGTTCGAGGTAAGCCTCGAGTACCGAGGAGCAGGGAGCCGCAAGTGCGGAACAAACTTCCGGCAGGACTCCCTACAGAGGTTCTGGGGAAGTTTCCGGTGCGTGCCTCCGAATCACCTCGCCCCTAGAACAAAAATAGAATTTTCTCGAGTTGTCGTTGATCCATTGCCTCGCGGGCTCGGCCGAAAACTCGATGGTGGCGAAAAGTGTTCGCTGAAGAGCGTTTCCTGAATCCCACGAATTCAGTCGTATAATTCCGGTACGAACCTTCCCTCGGATTGTACACGGAGCTATCTAATTGTAAGACGGGCGTTGGCGTTGAAGGCGGCAGCGGAAAGAGAGGGCTGAATTCCAGAGTCAGCCTCCAGAAACTCGGAATCCGATAAGCTGCTCTCTGGACTGTGAATGGATTTCTTATAGCCTGAGAATTCTATCCTGAGCAGAAGAGGGAACAGAAAAACGTTCCTCACCGAAGAAAGCCAGACTAGTGAATTGCAGTGTTCATTAAGGGAGCGACGACTCGAAAGTCCGAATTCATTTTTTTACGGAAGCGAAAGTTTTGCTCCAGTGAGCCCAGCCTCGTTTTCTGGACGGACACTCTCGTCACTGATTGTGAGTCTTACCGCCTGCTTATATAACGGTCGGAAGCTAAGCTCAGGCCACATTCGTGCTCGCTCCAAGCTCAAAATGAACTTCAGCGTAAGCTCTCTTAGTGTAGTCAGCACGAGGTACCGAAATGATTCCGATCTCTCTGAGCTCGATAGATTTAACCTAACGAATCTCTTCAGGCTTATCTCACCATCGCTCTCGGCGTTCTGGTTTCTTTCGCTTCTGCCGGTTACTTGGGATACGGCGGATTATACGGCGCTCCTCTGCTCCCCTACGCCCCGTACGGTCTCCCTCTCGGTCGAGCATGGAGTTACGGAAGCGTTATTAAACACGGGTATGGGCTGGGCTATGGATCGGCTTACGTCAAGCCTCTTCTCTCCTACGAACCATTCGGATACTTGAAGAAATGAGCCAGCTGTTCTGGAACTTGAATCATGCCCTAGGAGGTTTCCGATTCCTCGTGGAGATTGCCCCAAAACGGAATCACAATAAAATGAGAAATCCCGAGCTTGACACCGGCTTCTGAGAACCTTTGATTATTCTCACGGCATGATTTCTCGCCCGGACCCTCCGGTCGTCTGCGCGGGTCCGCGAATCGTGGGTCGATGGAAGTGGAAGTTCTGCGGGTCAGTCAGGAACTCGAGCCACGGGCTCCTCTTTGAAGAAAATTTGATCGAAGAGGCACTTCCCCCGGGCGGGGGCTTCATGGCCGCAAGAATCGGGAAGCTCCCGGGGCTCTCTGCTCGGAGCTACATTTTTCTGGTTACACACGAGAGGTCAGGCGGAAAATTTCAGAAAGAGGGCTTTCATAGGACAACCACTATAGCTTCGAGCTTTATTCCTTTTTGGAATTCAGGATTCATCTGAACGTTGACTCAAAAATCGTATCATGTATCGTCAGTCTCTCTTGGTCATACACTGGACTCTCTCTCCTTTTGATGAAGGAAGATGCTTAATTCTATGAGCACCGAGACCATATTCAATCGTCACTAAGCCGATCGGACCGATTATCCATCGGGGGAAGGAATTCGCCCGCCGGGGAGACTCGCGGGACCCATCCGTCGAAAAACAGATGACGCACCATACCTGTGGTGACTTTCAGGCAGCGCCCCGTCTTCGGAGCCTGTTTTGACTTACAGGCTCGGTTGAGGTGTCGGCCAGAGAGAAAACGCTGACGAACAAGCGAGAGACAAACTACCGAGGAGATGAACTCGACCCCTCATGATAAGTAATGCTTCCGGTCGATCACAGGTGGCTTCCCTAGATCTAGATCACAAAGCAGGAAAGTGATTAAAGCAGTTCATCGTATTCTTCCGCTAGACTGTCGAAGGCCGCGGTGCGCCACTCGAGCAGAATTGGCTCATTCGCCGTCGTCACGGGTCTTGAATTCGATCGTGTCGGTGCGGACTGGGTCCTGGTGACCGTTCTGCTACTACTACCCGATCTCGTTCTGGAGATCTTCTTCTTGTTGAGGTCGGAATCTTGCAAAGCCTCTTCCAGAATGGAATTCGCCAAGCCCGAGAAAAGGTATTCCAGGAATACACCGAGTCCGGTGAGGATTGGCTCGAGGGACGTGAATGTATGGTTGTGAGAGGTCGTGTCTACTTCTTCCTTAAAGAGAACGATGGTGAAAATTCCGGCGAGAGCATCAGCGTTCATCGCGTTTTCTTCGTGGAGATGGACAATTTGTTGGAGGAAAAAATACAATGTATCAGACACACTAAAGACTGGGTCAGGCCTCCGCTGACAAGCAGCTCAGCCATACCCTTCAGATGGAAGGAGCGAAGTTCCGGTCCAACTTGCAGAATTCGTCTGATGATGATTTTTTGAATGTCGACCGGGATCCATGGATCGGATAGGGTCCGCATCCAACGTTTGTAGAGAGCGCAGTACTCGTGGATGTCCTCAGCGTCTTCCGAGAGAATCGCTCCCTTATGGGTGAAGTATTCTCTGATTGGCTTCTGTCGACTCTGCCGTCCGGACTCGCGGAAGAGGAATTTTGTGTCAGCCTTCAGAAGAATCTTCCTGCTCAAATAGTCCATGATGTAAGGGACCTCGAAGCCATCCAGATGTATGCTTATGTCCTGTAAGAGAATCACGAACGTTCGGAGCGTGATTACTGATTTCATCATCATTGGCCGCGACTCCTACGAAAGTCGGAGTCAGGCCATTTCCCTCGACGAGGACGGACCTCATTGACGTCTGCGGACATCTTCTCTGAAGATCGGGAAAAGTGAGGTTTACGGCGGAGATTCTTCCTGAAGCTCTGGTCACCAAAGTACAGAAGGGACTCGATTTTTTTACGTTAGAGGAGCTAAGCTCAGACGCGGGGAAAGGAGGAACAGACATCGAAGGTCTGTCTCACAGAGCGGTATCATCAACGAACCTTGTTACATGGCACCATTCTGTGTTTCAATAACTTCTTCGAATAGAAACGGTTGCAACACATGTCCATCTTCTGAGTTAATGTGTCATAACACGAGCGAATGTTCTTGCAGCGCAGCATGATGGGAACGCGCGTTCCGCGAAGCAGAAAATGCCGATACAGAACTTGTAGGTCTGCGCCTTTTTATCAAAATAGGATTCGTCACTTAAGGACGGCGGAGGAACATCGCCGTCGCCGCGTCCCTTACACGGTGTCGCAGAGATGTCAACAATGCTTCCGGGAGATGCATGTTTCGAGGGTCCCGTGCTGCACACGTTTGAACCAGAAGAGTGAAACACGTACGAGACCGCCAAGCTTGAGATCTCAGAAGTTCGCGAGTATTATCGCATGGAAGAGGCCGCAAAATAACTATTTTTGAATGAACTGACGAGGGGTGGAATGCGCGTCGGATAGGCGATTTCGCAGCAAGGAGTAGGAACATATCTTCCTCGCACTCCGATTTTGGAGAATAAGAGGGACCGAGAAGAGCAGCGATCGCCTGATCAATCATTCGCGACGGTATGTCGGTCCGGTGGACACATTGATGAGCGAAGATCAAGCGCCAATAGATGCATATCCCGAATTCGAACAGACGATGCCCGTTCCCACGGCATTGACTTGGGCGACAATCCGTGACGGCCTTGTGTTTCGGGATCAGATGACCACCAAGTTACCTAATAAGAAGATCCCACACGTTACCTAACGGATACTTGTACGTTATCGTGAGTGACCGTTAACGCTGCCCCCGCCCCCTTGCCCTATCGGCGTTGAGGGGTATATAAGCGGCCCATCGCCGAAATTCTGTTGACGACAGCTCTCTTGAGTAGCTACGAGTTTCACTTGTACAATTCTTCCTTGCGTTGTCGCGATGAAAGCACAAATTCTAGCTTTAGTGATGCTACCTCTAATGAGCACAGTTCACGTCAGTCAAGCCGGTGAAGTTAAAAAGATCGCCAAGATCGCCACCATCGCCTACCTGGTGCACAAACACCTCAACCCCAAAGGCCCCACGGCGTACCATATCTCTGAACCGTGAGTACTCGCCCCCCAACTGATCATGTGGACTCTACGAGTTTAGAGAAACAGGAACGGGATCTCGTTCGGAGCTTGATAGCTCTCTGGAATCTTTAGCTCTTTCGAAGCCGAACGGGATAGAGTCTGACTATACAAGAAGGAGATCGTACTCTTCCGAGAGCTTCGATCGAAGAATATTTCCCGAACGTCTCTGGAGCCACGGTTGGATGTTTAAGGTGTGAAAAGTCCAGAGGCAACAAGTGACTCTGGTTCTCCGACAGGCATTCGCGATCAGTGATGCACGAAATCGCAGTGGACCCGACGGCGCTGTTCAACAAGCTGCTTCGCAAAACGGAACTTGTCGTCTCGAAAATGGTGCTCGCTCAACGTCTTCTAAACACTCTGTTGCACCTGCTCAAGATCGCCGACGCGCTGCCCCCCGAGAGGGTGATTCCGATGATGGCCGTCATTCGCGAAGATGCCAGAGTGACCGACAAAGCCGTCGAGTCTATGGGAGCGAATCTCAATCAGCTGTTCGGTCTCGTGCAAACTCCCAACGGAGATCTCGACGTGCAAAAGATTTCTCAATTGCTCAAAGTTCTACAACCGAAAGACAGTTCCACGTCGGCCGGCGGCAACGGGGATAAGTCGACGAAAAGTTCCCTCCTACCCGAAACGAACTGGTAGTACGGGGTTTGTGTTCCAAGCCGCACCGTGCAGCGCGGCTCCGCCTGACGCGCAGTACCTAAAAGGATTTGAGATACGTTGTCGCCTAGTTTAGGGCTCTGTGGCCCCGGGACGCTCACTGCAGGTGTTGTTCTTCGTTCCAGGGTCTCTCGAAATCACCGCTCCACCCCTGAGCAATATCATGTGGAGGCTTATGACGTACCCCACCAGCAAGCGCCCAGCGCGGACTCATTGGTACCGTCACCCAGAGTCCAGGCGACGGGATCTCCCCAATCCACGCTAGAGCCGACCGGGGTTGACTACGCAGAAATCGCGGCTGTCGCCGGCGCCGCACATTCCTTGCACGCGAATGGGCTCAAAGACGATGGATGGTGGTAGATTAGTATCTGTTAATTTCCTTCCTTTCTGCACAAAGTACATGTCTATCGGACCGTCGGCCAGAGTATTTGTATGTTTGTCGATATGCTTGTTTGCTTGTTCATCAAAATGATTGTTCGTCCATATTCTCCCCATCAACTTGTTGCCTTGTTTCTGCGTCAGATATAAGTTTCTGTATCTGTGTCGTAAACACAACGGCAGCGTGTTTGTGTGTGTTTTCCGTGTCCACTCTCTGTGCAATAAACGAGGTCCCCGCATGCATCGTGATCGAGCTTCGTTCTATCCCAAAAGATTCACAGCAACGATTCGCGGGAGCTACGAGTGTGATCGTGGTACCAGAGGGTTCAATGGTTGGTCGCGGGCCGTATAATCGATTGTACTTGACTGCGGATTTCTCCGCGACGCAGCTAGTTCGGAAAGAAATAGATCTGAAAGCTCGCGCGGAAGGCGGGGTGGGTTCGATCTTTGCTGCCGGAAAAATATGCAGGTACTCGGCTTTGATCCTCCTAGGTACATTTGCTGTATGGATCCGTCCTCGGAAGCAATGTGAATAACAGTACCCGGGACGTTAAACCTTGGCTGCGTGGTTCAGCCCGAATTTTTTTTTCAAATCTGAAAGCTTATAGTGCTGAGCGGAGTGGTTTTCAGTCTGCGTTCATTTCTCGCACGTCCTGCACGAAGTAATTTCCGTACAGGAAACTCCAGGGACTTCCTGCGCGCACTAAGTCTCTCCGGACAGGCGGAAAATTCGAAAGCCGAGGGGTCTTCTCCCTCAGAGTAGCGACAAGGTGCTCCGTATATTCAATCGGAATGCAGCTCGAATAGGAGTGTCGTCCAGGATGGGGATAAGCTTGAGATATACAGGACGTCGTAATCGTCACCGCCAATTGTATCTAAGTTCCTTTACAGTGCACCCGTCTGGCTCCCCTACAAAGCCAAGCATCGGTCACTTATTGAGTCGAATCCCAACCTTCCCCAGCCTAATGTCCGCAGTTTCTAGTCAAGATTCTATTGCGCTTCGTAATTTCACAAGGCTCGAGTTATGGAATAAATTCTTCGATGTTTCTCAGAACTGCCTCAGAAGCCGTATCTCGGTTCGCTCGAAGTCCCTCGCCACCACTGATCTTGTGAACAACACCTGGTCTTGGAGGATCAGCTCTTGGATAGTCTCCGGAGACCTGTTTCCTCTGTCGCTTCGGGAATGGCTACAGGCTCGCACAAATCCGTGGCGAGTCTTCACTTATTGCTATCAATCCCCTTGAATAACGGTGCTTATGAAATGAAAAAAATTCTAGTAGCATCAATCCTGGCGCAGATCTTGATCCGAACTCCATAACTCGGACAGCAGTGATCAGTGTCGAGTAGGAAGGAGGGGTGCTCTTGACCTGGGAATCGGACTCGCACGTCGAAGTGGTTCATTAATCAGAGCATAGACCCAAGATCCTTAATCGCGTTCCGCGATTCTGCATAGAGTGTTGACGACCGGCCAGATTCGCTTGGTGTGATGGGTTTTCGTAGAGAGCAGAGGTTCTCGCCGTCAGCTTCTCGACGAGCGGAGCGCAGGCGAAGTGAGGTGATCCTTGCTGAATCAATGATTCGTAAAATTCTAGCGACGAGGTTCCTAAGCGCTCCTCCGCAGCGTCCCATCGATCGAATCCCAACGATGAAGATCATCATGTCACTCGAAACTCGGTCTTCTCGAGACCGAACTTCGCGCGTTCGTTCAAGAGAGAATTCTCAAGATCGTCCCGAGATTAGTCTGTCCTCTCGATCGTGGATCTTTGATCGAAGCACTCGCGGAATTCGGCAGTATCCACCCAGACGTCAAATTTCAACGGAAAGAAATGTCGACCGGAATGTTATGCGTATCGATCGGAATTGATCCACCTCGCTCTCCTACAATTCCATGGTACCCTCGATGACTCGTTCGAGACTCCCCCCGGTCTCGTGCTCAGAGTTTGTATACCCACTCTTCACGTGCAGACCACTGTATCGCCTGGCATAGAGCTCTGAAGAGATATCGCTGTGAGCTCCGCTCCGGCCACAAATTCCGACTGTGGCAAAATCGGTCGAGCCCACCGTGGCGCGTCAACGGACACGTCTCCTGCGGAATCTGGGTGCAACCCCACAAGGAAGGCAGAGGAACTGGGCTCGGCAAGCTCTGATCCCATCAGCTAGCAAATCCGATTCGGGCAGAGCGGAGAGATGCTCTCTGAGATCCCCGAAGCGATTCTGAATCCTTTTTCTTTCCAAATTGTGGGAGTTTAGACGCCATGGATAAGCAAGGTGACGACCCTGCGAAAACGTATCGAAAAATGATAGTCAGAAAACATTCCGCTAACTCAGGAAGTTCAGTTGGCGTATCGAACACGATCATGGCGCTTAGTCTCCGCCAAATACTCATTCAGACTAGACTTAAGCCTGGAGAGTCGATTCTGGAGCCGCTGAAGGGGCTTTTTCGGGAAAAGGGCTTTTTCGAATATATGGCTCACACAAAAGCCCTTTGTTTTCACAGCGACACCTGCTCGCGAAACGCGTAAGCCTGCATTCATGTTTTCGGAAGGCAGTCGAAAGCGTCGGCTGCTATTACCAGGGCCCTGATTCTGAAATAAAGATTCAAACCGTTCTTCCCGAGAAATTACCCCGTGATCAATGGCAGAAGAAAGTCAGAAGAGGGATATTGCTTGACGCGTGTACCTGATACGAATCGATTGGACATAGACAAGCCGCGGGCGAAGGCTGGTCTGCTGTTCGTAAGATTCTGACGAATGCCCCGAGTTTCCCCCCCTCCGTCCCAAAAAGGGGGGGGGGAAGTCTCGGTAGGGGGAGCCCCATTCCGCATAGGTATCTCGATGTCGTAGACTTCGACGGTAAATGTTCCAGCACTTCAAGACCGGCGACATGAGCTCATGCCAGGCGGTCACCCCCCCCCCCTCCGCCCTCTCCGTATCGAGAATTCTCGGATTAGTTGATGAGAAAGCTCTGCATGCCCCTCTGTGGGAAATCGATCCGACGGGGTTCTCTCTTAGTTCTCCACTCCTGGAGCGAGACATCGATAGTTTTCCCCTCCGCCGACCTCTGCTTCTCTGGAAGTCATCGATAGCATGTCTCACAGTCAGCAACTCCTGTTCTTGGCC